GAAGTTAAATTCCACAAGGGCAGGGAATTTTTAAAATTTACTATTTTAAAACGATATTATTCTTTATTTAAAAACCAAGTTTTTCTCCTGATAGCATTTCTGCCACTAAATGTACTTTTTGTACATTAATTCTCCAACACCACTGAGTGTCTTACAAGTCAATTCTCACACTGTCTGCAGTTAATGAAGCCCCGCCCCCAATCCCACAATACTGCCCTGCTATCAGATGCAAGTCTCAAATGGGATGCTCAAGCTACCCACATTTCTGCCCAGCAAACTACAAATTTGGAGGTTCCCATCATCCCTATCAGGGTTGATAATTCACTGGAATGACTCACAGAGCTTAGCAACTTTACTTACTTCAGTTTGAGTATCTTTTATCTGAAATGCTTGGGACCAGAAGTGTTTTGGATTTTGGATTCTTTTAAATTTTGGAATATTTGCATATACATAATGAGATTTCTTGGGGATGGGACTCAAGTGTAAATATGGAATTCATTTATAAACATGGCCTGAAGATAATATAATATTTTTAGAGCATCTGCTTTTTAACTACAGCCCAAAGCTGGGTGTGGAATTTTCCACTTGTGGTGTCATGCTGGCACCTCAAAGTTCTGGATTTTGCAGTATGTCGATTCCTCAAAGATGAGGAGTGGAACCACCATGTGACCCAGCTATCACACTCCTAGATATTTATCCTAAAGAATTCAAATCAGTGGTACATACATGCCCACGTAAATAGTAGCACAATTCACAACAGCCAGACTATAGAACCAACCTAGGTGTGTCCATCAATGGATGAGTGGATAAAGAAAATGTGTTGAGGTGCTGGAACTTCTCAGAGGTGGGGCATAATGGGAGGCTCTTTGATCAACTAGGGGTGTGCCCTCAGAAGAGACTGCAGAACCCTAGCTATTCTTTTGCTTCGTGTCTTGTCATGGGACAGCTTCCTCCCACTGCCATCCTCCATGATGTAATGCAGCCAGAGGGCACTCATCAGAGCTGAGTCATGACAGCACCATGCCCTTGAACCTCCCAAACTGTGAGTTAAATAAACCTTTTCTTTATAAAATTCTCCTGCCTCAGCTAGGTGTGGTGGCTTTTACCTATAATCCCAGCAACTTAGGAGGCTGAGGCAGGAAGATTCCTCAGCAGCTTGGTAAGGCCCTGTCTCAAAAAAAAAAAAAAAAGAAGACTGGGGATGTAGTAAAGTCCACTTGGGGGTTCAATTCCCAGTACCCAGAAATAAACAAACAAATAAATAAACATTATCCTGCCTCAGGCATTTCATTATAGTAATGAAAACAGACTAATACAGGATACTCAACCTGTATTACAGTTTCCTATAAAGGACACCACTCAGAATAGTTAAATGGAAGAGATGCACAGGGTTAAGGTGTGGGGGTGAGGGATGCACAGAGCTTCCATGCCCACTTTGGGAACTCCCCTCCAGCATGATTAACTCATTTGCAATTGGTGATTAACTGAATCTCTAGCCCCTCTTCCCTGGGAGATTGGGGGCTGGGCTGAAAGTTCAAAGCTTTAATGAAGGCTTGGTCTTTCTGGCATCCAGCCAGGAACCAGTGACAAAAACCAAACACGTTTCTTATTATATCACAAAAGGTCTTTTAACTTGAGGAGGAAATGAATTCTCACCTGATGCTTGCTCCTTTTGGTCCCAGGTGACTTGTCCCTTGCAGGAGAAATGGAGGGATTTTTGTCCTCCTTTCCTTGCAGAATAGGAAGGGGCAGATCTTGGAAACAGGAGGAAATAGGAACCATTTAGTCATTTTCATTAGCAGGCAAAGAACTGTTCTCCCTTTCTTTTTTCCTAAGATTTCAAGCATTTTCTTTCTAGGAATTTCCTTTCCTGGGTCTTCCTTTCAATCCCTAAAGAAGATAGATCCTTTCCCATGATCGTATTCACATTCAACCCAGGGAAAGTTGTTTGGTGCCCACTCTTTGAAGCCTTTCCCTTGCTCAGACTTCTTCAGGTAAGTGTTTCTTGATCAGCTCAGCTGGGAACTAATGAGGTGATTTGTTTATTTTTTCATAGGGAAACTGAATTCACTTTATAAACAATATGTACTTACCTATTCTAAGAATGTGTGTTGGTCTAGGAACTCTAGCTTCATGTGTGTCCCTGACCCAGATCCCAAAACTCGATAAACTTTCATTGTGTCTAAGAATGTTGAAGTTTTTTTTTTTTTTTTTTAAGAGAGAGTGAGAGAGGAGAGAGAGAGAGAGAGAGAGAGAGAGAGAATTTTAATATTTATTTTTTAAGTTCTCGGTGGACACAACATCTTTGTTGGTATGTGGTGCTGGGGATTGAACCCGGGCCGCACGCGTGCCAGGCGAGCGCGCTACCGCCTGAGCCACATCCCCAGCCCCCGAATGTTGAAGTTTTGAACTTAAGATGTACAGAGTACCAAGTAATTTGCTTAGGGTCACACAGATAATGTCACAGCCAGAATATGAGCCCAATCAATTGGACACCAGAAGTGAGGCTCTTAATACTTTCCCTCTGACCCCCAATTCTGCTCTCTTGTCCTCTGGAGAGGCCAACCCTACTGCTAGGACACTGCCCTTTTGTCAGAAAAGGTCACGATGTGGAGATGTGGAGTCAGTGGGCCTTGGAAAAATGCTCAGAGCTGTGGAAATCTGTTATCACAATTCTTACTGTTTGGGCAACAAGTTCAACTTCTGTCAAGGGCAGAAACCTGTAACTTCTGTCTCAGGCCAAATTCTAGAAAAACCCTCAGAAAAAAAAATAGCCTTCCATTTTTTTTTCCCTCACTCTGGAACCCAATAAGTAGAAACTCCAGGTTGGTTTTTGACTCCAAGGAGACTGTTTGGATCTTGATGTACCCATCATTTCAGAGAAGAAAGTGGTAAGCTAAAACCAAACTTTATGAAGACTATTTTAGAGTTTCATGTGTACTTATAAATTGTATACCATTTTTCTAAGTTCCAAAACTCCCATGTTGCCAGTAAATATAAAGAAAGACATGCAATCAGGAAAAATGCTACCTTCTAATTCCCATGTTTTTTTTTTTTTCCCCAAAGTACTTAGAAACCTACTGCTGGTACATAGGAGTGGCAGAGAAAACTGGGAAAGAACTATTACCCTTCAGCACTCTAAGCCCCAGCCCAGAGAGCTTCAAAGGCAAATTTTCTTCCAAATCATAGAAAAATAGTTTCAAAGGATTTTTAAGTGTTTCAGAATTTAGAAAGGAAGAAAACTTTCAAGTTATTTATATAATGTAATGATCCCATCAATACCTAAAAGGGATAAATACAGCACAAGAAAATGTTACATCTATCTCACTTATGGACATGAATTGCAAATATTCTTAAAAAAAGACAAAAGTGATCCAATAGCACATGAAAAGAATAAAAAAGGTTAATTAGTAAATCTGAAGAATGTAAAGATCATGCATTACACTAACTATTTCATAATGGTGGTGAACTTGAAAATAACTCTAGGATCACCTTCCTAGTTTCTGAAAAGGCCTTTCACAAAACTCAATATCATTCTTGATAAAAGCACACAAATAAGAATAGATGGATATATAAGGAATTTTCACAAAATCACAATAAAGATGCTTCACCGTCATCCACCATTACTTTATATTAGAAGGTATGAACCAGGAATTAATAAAGAAGTCAGAGGTGTTTAAAATTGTAAGAAACAAAACTAGAACTATTTGCATATGACTAATTCTGCAACTTAAAGAGAATTATTTAAAAAACTATTATAAGGGTCTGGGGTTGTAGCTCAGTGGTAGAGCACTTGTCTAGCACATGTGAGGCCCTGGGTTTGATCCTCAGCACCACATAAAAAAAAATGAATAAATAAATAAAGGTATTATATCCATCTACAACTAAAATTAAAAAAAATTTAAAAGAAACTATTATAAATGTAAAAGAATCTAGTACACTAACAGGCTATCAAATAAATGTGCAAAAATCAATTATTTTCATCCAGATGCTGTGGTGCATGCCTGTAATCCCAGTAAATCAAGAGGCTGAAACAGGAGGATTTAGGTTCGAGGCCAGCCTCAGCAACTTAGTGAGGCCCTAAACAACTTAGGGAGACCCTGTCTCAAAATAAAAATAAAAAGGGTTTGGGGATACGACTCAGTGGTAAAGCACCCTGGGTTAAAACCCCAGTACAAAAAAAAAAAAAAATCAATTATTTTCAAAGACATAGGCAAGCTTAAAATATAATGAAAATGTTGTCACTATAGAAAAACATAAAAGAGAAAATGTCTAGGAATAAATGACTAGACCTGTGAAAGATCACCTTTAGGTCATTAATTTAAGAATAAACATTAATAGTCTGCTAAAGTATACAAAGGAATGCTTTTTAAAAAACGAATCATTAGATTCAAAGTTTCAGTATCTTAAAAAGACAGCAGTTACCTCTGGGTTAATTGAGTGTAATATGACTAATAGTTTTTGTTGTTGTTGTTTTAAATCAGGGAAGCTAATTTTGAGATTAATGTAGTAATACCTATAATATAAAAAACCAGCCAGAAACACTATGAAAAGGAAGTATACTAAGGGGTTTCGGTATTAAGATTTAGAACTAATTAGAAAATCTAAAATGCAGTTTGATATATGAAAAGGCATCTTAAAACAAAATTAGAGGGGAAATAACATATTATTTAGTATCTGATTAACCAGATGGCCATTAAAAAAAAGATCCTTCCTTCATACTACTATTCCCCATAATAGATTAAAAATTGAGGGCTGGGGATGTGGCTCAAGCGGTAGCGCGCTCGTCTGGCATGCGTGCGGCCCGGGTTCGATCCTCAGCACCACGTACCAACAAAGATGTTGTGTCCGCCGAGAACTAAAAACAAATAAATATTAAAAAATTCTCTCTCTCTCTCTCCTCTCTCACTCTCTCTTTTAAAAAAAAAAAAATTGATTCAAACATTAACAATGAAATCGTGTGTGTGCGCGCACAAATATACACACACACCAAGAGAACATTGGGATTCAAAATCCTGTAAGTTTAAGGTTAAACAGGAAATGAACAAGAAAATCTCCACGCTCAAAAGGTTTTCAGAAAAGCCAAAGACAAATGACAACTGGAAGAAAAAGTTCATAATGCACATCACAAACTATTACCATGCCTCATGTCACCAATACATATACTAGAATCAACAAAGGAATGACAAAATTATTCAGGAGAGAAACAGACAAAGGATACAATAAAGAGTTCACAGAAAAGGGAATATATATGATTCTTAAGTTTAACTTCACTTATAATAAAAGGCAAAATAGAGCTGATACACCATTTTTTCAACTATTTGATTGGTAAGATCCACACATTGGATGGTCTACTGTAGGCTAAGCATTAAGGGATATTCTGTGGGAGAACAGTGATACATGTGTGGAAGGCAACTTAGCAATAGCTATCAAATTTCAAATGGAATATCTTTGGCCCAGAACTCTCACTTCTGGAAATTCATCCTATAGATAGTATACTTTACAAAGTATATAAGAAGTTACTGGTTATAAGATAGACATCAACCATTAGCTTTAGGAAAACCTAAGGCAGATATGCTCTACCACACTATCAAAGGTAAAAGTACCCTGATTTGAGATGTTAAAACACGAAAAGTGCATTTAGAATCAAAGCAATACTGTATTTGCATTCATGCCACATGATATGCATTCAAGATAACAACTACAGTAACTTTTTTTTTTTTTTTGCCAGAAGAAAATGATGGGAAACAATATAAATGTCCATTAGTACATTTCTGGTTAATTACACATAACCACAGACTGGAAAGAAATGTGGTCCTAGGAAAGAGAAGATGTAGTGGTTTGGAAGGATCTTCAAGATACGCATAAACCAGTAAATACAATATGTCAACTTTCATGAAGAAGCCAAAAATTTGTTTGCTTGTGTATACACAATGAAACTAGGGCACAAATGTGGCTGCTAACATAGAGGCTATGTTAGGTGCCAGATGAAGGGGGACAAGGATGGAAAGCTTTTTCTATTTTATATTCTTGGGGCTTATGACTAATGACACTGAAAAACTTTCAATGAGGATTAACAACTGAAAGAAAAAAAATCCAGAAATTTGGTAGTTTTGAAAACACACTTTATCACTTAATATATACAATATTTACTTTGCTTGCCATCTGAAATGCCTCAGGAAAAACACAAATGCAGTCTTACACTAAAAACTTCTGTTGAATCGGACATGAAAGGAGCACATATTCTGACAATGTCAAGTTCTTTCCATAGCATTCCAGTCCTAAGAACAACTGTAATTCTTTATTCTTCTCATCATGGCTATCTGATAATTTCTTCCTTCATCTTGGGCTCTAGTACTGGCGATTTCCCTTCAAGTCTCAACTTCATAAAACCACCCTTTATTTTTGAATGAAGCCATGTTGACAGACATATTTCATAACACAGGGAAAAGAATCTGGATCAATCACAAACTCAAAGAACATCACAGAAGTATTACGATGCTGTGGACATTTCTTCTATTTCTTTTCTGATGCTTTTTATCACGATCAGCTTCCTTTTCTTCCCAACTGTGTGCACTGCCTTGTTCTCCGTATGTTTTGACTTTTTAAAATCAAGTTGCAGGATTGGGTTGACTGTCTTGAACGCAGAGCTTCTCTGGGAGGTCGCTGCATCACTCAACTATTCTCTGTTGATAAACTTATCACAACCAAGTTCTTCTATCAGAGGATTGATCACTTCGGATGCAGTCAGGGCTATGGTAAATGTTAAAATATCGAAATCCACCCGCTGGGGATTGCGCTGATACTCGGCGTCAAACGCGGCTTCCCGGGCTCGGCAGGCTTCCACGAACCGCCTGCGGCGCTCCTCCAGCTCCTGTATTCTGCCCGGAGCGATCGGATAATTTTCCAGGTAGTGGCGGAGGAACTGCTGGTAATTAATTCCTAAAACGCTAAGCGGGTGGCGGAGGCGGAGATAGGGCAACGCGGCCAGGCCCCCGGCGTTGCTGGCCCTGGACCTGGGCCTGGGCTCCGGACTCTCCTCCTCCAGCGGCTCCCCCAGCAATCGGGCGACCTCCGCCATCCGGGCATCCCTGGATGCCCCCGCCATCGCGCCTTCTCGGGCCGCCGGGCCTCCCCGGGCCGCCGCCACAGGGCCTCCTCTGGCCTCCGCCATCCGGCCTTCCCTGGCCGCTGCCATTCGGCCTCCCCTGGCGGCCGCTACCGGGCCTTCCCGGGCCGCCGCTACGGGGCCCTCCCGGGCTGCCGCCACCGGGCCCTCCGGGCCCTCCGCAGCCGGCGCCGGGGTCGGCTCCCGCCTCCCGCCGCCTACCTCCGCCTGTGGGACGCCGATGTCGCCACTAGCTGCGTCCGTCTGCGGGACGCTGCTGTCTGCGGGCAGCTGGGACATCTCGGACCGCAGGGATAGCTCGGTGGCTCCCGAAAAACTGGAATAACGGGGCAGTGCGACTACGGGTGTGCACGCGAGGGCGCGTACATGAGCGCAATGCGCACGGGTAAACGCGGTGTGCACAGCCGTGTGCGCAAGCGTAGACGCTCTGTCACCTAGCAGCCCTGCGCATGCGTAGTAGCCCGGCGCCCAGAGACTTAACATACCATCTACTGGCCAGCACTGCTAACGCCTCTGAAACCGCAGAATGTGCAAGGGTGGGGCCCAAGTTTTTACATTTCTACCAGTTCAATGTTTATAAGAAGAGTCTTACAAGATCGTTTTCTGTAAGCGTTCCTAAGCTTCCATCCTAGGATGCTTCTAAGCTGTTACCTAGTGATTGTTATATTCTCTCTCTCTCTCTCTCTCTCTCTCTCTCTCTCTCTCTCTCTCGTTCTGCGGATTGAAATCAGGGCTTTGCACATTCTAAGCAATTGCTCTACCACTAAGCTACATTCCCAGCCCCTTTCTATTAATTTTATTTTGAGACAGAGTCTAAGTTTTCCAGGCTGTCCTGAAACTTGCTATCCTCCTGTCTCAGCCTCCCGAGAAGCCAATGCCACCCACCTCTGTTATACACCAAGATATTCTGGTTTGGTGTCTTTGTTAGGATTGTTTATTCTTTTCCATTTATTCATCTATTTTCACTCATATCAATTCAATTAATTATTAAAACTTTATAATAATACTTCCTTCTTTTTTTAAAAAAAAATTTTATTTTTATGTGGGGCTGAGGATCGAACCCAGTGTCTCACATATGCTAAGCAAGCACACTGCCACTGAATCACAACCCCCATAATCCCTTCTTGTAACTTAAAAAAATTCTTTAGCTTCACTTGGACATTATTTTTTTTTCAAAATTTGTGCAGTATTATGCATATGCAGAAAAATGAATGAAATATAAATGTACAAGCTGAATGATCTATTACAAAGTAAAAATTCCCAGGTCAAGAAATTGAATATTAAAAAAAAAAATAAATAAAAATAAAAAAAAAAGAAAAGAAAAGAAATTGAATATTTCCAGTATCTAGGAATCCTTCCTTCCTTTTAAATAATATTTATTTTTTGGTTGTAGATGGACACATCCCTTTATTTATTTTTATGTGGTGCTGAGGTTAGAACCCAGGGCCTCAGGCGTGCTAGGTGAGCCCTCTACCCCTGGAGCCACAACCCCAGCCCCCTTCCTTCCTTTCTTATTCCTATCCCCTCCCTTCTACCTGGAGGTAACTACTATCCTGATATTTGTGGTAATCATTTCCTTGTTTTCTTTTTTGTTCTAATACTGCAGTTTTGGTTCTGCCTGTGTTTTGAACTTTATATACTCTTGTGTCTGGTTTCTTTTGAATAACATCATTTTTTAAATGAAATTCACCCATGTTTTTAATTGTATTATAAATACTTCATTTCCTTGATAGTTACATATTTATTATCATTCTTTTTATGGGTCCCATCATATTACAACGTGCATCTTAAATAGTGACTCTCCAAGTTACAAACCATGGCATGTCTCTGTAATCTCAGCTACTGTGAAGGTGAGGCAGCAGGATCCTTGAGCCCAGGAGTTGGAGGCAAAGCCTGGGCAACATAGGAAGACACCCCCCCCAATCGAAAATATAAACAAAACCCTAAAACCCAAATACCAATAAAATGGCTAATTACTTTCTCTTATTTCAAATGTCATGTGAAAAATGTCACATAAGGAAGTTCCACCTTTGATTTTGCTAGTGGTAGTTCTGTATCAGCAAATACCTTTCTTCTCTGTTGGGAATGAGCTATTTTGGCATTAAGATCTCATCCTCAGATCACAGCCTGTGCCCTTCTTTTCCTGTTCCAAGCAGCAAATATATAAAGTAACATCCAGCCTACCTGCTGCTTTAAGCACAGTCTCTCACTAGCATCTCTGTAGTTACTATGTGTGTGGCTCCTTTAGGGCAGCTCCAGGATAGCTTGGTGACTTATGATGTATTGTTCCCACTCTTTGGCTGCCTGGAGATTCGAAAATATTTAACAAAGGAATTCCCAGACTTCAGTGATAACATACATCATTTGAGAAGGAACTAGAAGTTGTAGAAATTTGCTATGAAAGCAGATACAATCCTGCCATCTGAGACTAAAATTCACCTTATAGCATAAGCTAAAAAAGTGCTTATATCTTCCAGGAATAGAAACGGCTCTAAATAAAATTGTATTTTATTTAGAGAATTGCATTTTATTAAACAGAAGCAATATAGAAGCTGTTGTAGGGGCTGGGAGGTTTGTGGTCCTGGGTTTGGTTTTCCCCAGTTCCACAGGGGAGAAATGTTCTAGAAAAATGAAGTAAACAGAAATGAAACAGCTAGCTAGAGGGAGGCGGAAAAACTTGATGATAATGTGGGAAGATAAAAACGAAAATTGGAGATAAATTCCAAGTGAGTTATTGCTCTCAAGACTGTTCCTGCAGTGGCTGCTGTCTCTTGGTGACTCATGGAAGGTGATTCAGGGTTATCTGAAGACAAATTCAATCAATCATGTTGCAGACTAAACATTAAAGGGTGGCATCAGGGGCTCCACATGCTTAAAACCTTGAGAGAGAGGCTGGATGTTAATTTAAACCCCTGGTCATACAGTTAATATTCTGAAAGAGTGTCAAGAGTTTAAACAGAAGGGGACAGATCTGCCACTAGAATAGAGCAAACCTGTGATGAAAGCGAGGCAGAAATTTGTCCTCTTCACCAACAGCTTCAGTTGGGGAAGCGGGCTTTCCCTAGCTGCCACCTATGTAATCTTGCAGGATGTTGGGGTGAGGTCTCTGTATAGCCAAGCCTGGAGGTGAAGTGTTTTATTAATTGATCAACCACAATTATTTGGCAAATGAGGAGGCTCAGTAGCCCTGGTTACTAAGCTTCCTGATTCTGATTCTCTTCCCTATGAACATCATTAACTAATCATTACCATTGTTCCATTTTTTGAGCACTTAACTAGGGACCAGGCACTATTCCACACACTTTGTAGCCCGTAGTATGAACTGAACTGTGTCCCATATAGGGCACAGTTATAATTATAAGTTATATAACTATAGAATATAGTTATAATTGTAATAAATTATCTTTAAGGAGATAATTAAAATTGAATGAGATTATAAGCATGGGACCCTAATCCAATAGGACTCTAATCCAATAGGATACTAGTCCTATTGGATTAGGGTCCCATGCTTATAATCTTAAAATTTTTAAATTTTAAAAATTTAAATTTTTTTTTAGTTGTAGATGGACACAATGTCATTATTATTATTTTTTTTTAAAGAGAGAGTGAGACAGGAGAGAGAGTGAGAGAGAGAGAGAATTTTTAATATTTATTTTTCAGTTCTCGGCGGACACAACATCTTTGTTGGTATGTGGTGCTGAGGATTGAACCCGGGCCGCACGCATGCTAGGCGAGCGCGCTACCGCTTGAGCCACATCCCCAGCCCATATTATTATTATTATTATTATTATTATGTGGTGCTGAGGATCAAACCCAGGGCCTCGCATGTGCTAGGCGAGCGATCTACCACTGAGCCACAACCCTAGCCCAGGACTAGCATCCTTATTAAAAAAAGGAAGTGACCAGCTGTTGTGATGCACACCTGTAATCCCAGCTACACGGGAAGCTGAGGCAGAAGCATCAAGTTACGGGCAGCCTTGGCAACTTAGTGAGAGCCTATCTCAAAATAAGAGAAAAAGGAGTGGGAGTGTGGTTTATGAAACACTTGCCTTGCGTGTGTGAGGCTCTGGGTTCAAGTTCTAGTACTAGGTGGAGGGGGGAAGACTTAGGAATGTTGTAGACCCAGGTACTCTGGAGATTGAATAAGGAGATTGTTTGATCCTAGCAGTTAGAAATCAGTCTGGGTAACATGGTGAGACCCTGTTTTAGAGAGAGAAACAGAAAGACAGAGGGAATGGACCACAAGGATGCATGCACAGAGAGGAAAGTCCATGTGAAGATACAAGGTGACCTTCTACAATACAAGAAAGCCTCACCAGAAGACAAACCAGTAGCATCTTGATCTTGAACTTGCAGTTTCCTGAACCATGACACCATACATTTCTGTTACTTAAGCCTCCTGGTCTCTAGTGTTCTACTAAGACAGTTCTGGCAGCTTGAGGCAGCTAACCTCTTTCTCTTCTAATAGGTTCCTCACCCCCCACATCTCTTTGGCTCCAAGTTCTGGAAGATAGTCCAAAGATAGTCCAAAGACTATCTCGGGCTCAAGGTCAAGCTGTTGACACTCCTATCCCTATTCTACCTCCTTATTCAAAGACTTATGGGACTTCAGCTCAGAGAGGGGATACAAAATGATGATGGGGTCACCTGGAGAGCCGTGGTAAAACTCACCAGGGTGCGGAGACGGTGGAAAGGGAACTCTGCACCTGCCCCCTCATCGGCCCTGAAAATCTTTCTTCTCCCCCACGCTGATCTCTTACCGAGACAGTACCATCCTTCCTGCTTCGGTTTAGCTCATTCTTTCCACTGTGAAGATTCTGGGGAGTTGATGTGTGGCTCATTTGTGTAACAGTCCAAGTGACTTAATAGTTCTGTGACTCAGTTTCTTTATCTGTAAAATCAACATAGTAGTGCTTATAGCACAGGTTTGTGTGAGGAATAAGTTATTTTCTGTCACATGCCTTTAACCGTGGCTGGAACATATTAAGCTTCATGTAAAGGGCAGGAATTGTTATCATTATTATCCTGCCCATCGATGGGGTGTCGACTCCCCACCTGCAGTTCCCCCTCAGGCTGTGTAGGTGTGGCTGATGTTGGTGCCGGGCAAAAGTCTGGCCACTTTTCTTGTTAAGGCTGGAATGTTCACACAGAGAAGACAGGGTAAGGGACAGCTGATTTGGAGCAGGCTGAGACAGTGGACAGGCACAGTCATCTCAGCCCTTCCCCTCTGACTGGAATAGAGGGAAAAAACGCAAGTCAGCCGCAAGACAACCTGAGAGGCTGGGGAATATGGGGAAGGCCCTGGAGGACACTCAACCATTGAGCCACATCCCCAGCCCTATTTTGTATCTTGTTTAGAGACAGGGTCTCACTGAGTTGCTTAGCACCTTGCTTTTGCTGAGGCTGGCTTTGAACTCGGGATCCTCCCTGAGCTGCTGGGATGACAGGCATGCATCACCACACAGGGCTCTTTTACCTTCTCCCCCCCCCCCTTCTCCACGGAGAGCTGTGGCTTAGGCCCCTGAAGTGAGGATCACAGCTCCAGCTCATCTCTTCAGCATTGTCTGAGCACGATCCCCTTCCCCTTGTGTCTTGGAGTTCTTGGAAGAAGACCTTCAAGGTGGTGGGGGAGCCTGGCGTGATGGCACTCGCCTGTAATCCCAGCGACTCGGGAGGCTGACGCAGGAGAATTGGAGACTGAGGCAGGAGCACTGCAAGTTCGAGACCAGCCTCAGCAATTTATTGAGGCCCTATCTCAAAATAATAAATGAATGAATTGAATAATTAAAGAAAAGGCTGGGGATGTGATTCGGGGTGTAAGCGGCCTCTGGGTCAGTCCTCGGTTCCGAAGGGATGGGGGGAGATCTGAAAATAATTCTTCACATCATTCTCTTGACACCTGTGCCAGAAATGTTCTCTTCTCCCTTAATTAAAATTATTTCATTTTCCCAAAATAATAACGATCTCATTGTAGGTGTGGCAAAGGGCTCTATCTCGAATGAACCCAAAAGAGAAAGGCAGGGTTCTGGAAATAGCTGCCTCTTCTTTGGACGTAAAAGACATAACGTAATTACTCCTTGTTTTTCAACCGAACGCAGCCGAGTTCTGCAAGCAGACTGCGAGCCACTGACGCAGACATGAATGTGCAATGATCCAGACGGACGCAGAGGGAGGGCTACTTCCCAGGCTCCTCAGACATGTGCACAACACCCACGTGGGGTCGTCCACCTGGGTTGCACCGCAGCTCAGACATCTGGGACTGCAGGGTCGGCTTCCCTGCTTCTAAAAAAAAAAAAAAAAAAAAATGGAATAACGTAACTGCGTATTGGTGCGCATGCGTGTCTCCGAGAGCGGGCGTGCAGTGCGTGTGCACGTGCAAACGGGCGCGCATTCGTCTTTAATGCCCCACATTTGGGTGGAGGTGGGGGGGGGGAGAAAAATTGGGGCAGCCCGTTGGGAGGCTGAGGCAGGAGGATGGTGAATTCAAAGCCAGCTGCAGCAACTTAGTGAGGCCCATAGCAACTCAGGGAGACCTTGTCTCTAAATAAAATATAAAAAAGGGCTGAGCTGTGGCCCAGTGGTTAAGCACCACTGGGTTCAATCCCTAGTACCCCCCCACAACCACCACCATAAAAAAAAAAAAAAAAATTATGGGAAGTTTATTTCAGGGATGGGAGGTGGGAGAGGTGGCCCCTGGTGACTAGCCAAGCGACAAAAACCACGTCTACCTTATTGATTTAAATGTGGTGGTGAGAAATGAACCCAGTGCCTCACACGTGCTAGGCAAGCGCTCTACCACTGAGCCACGACCCTAGTCCCTCCGTTTATCATTCAATGTGCAGAAAGCTATTGTAACCTGGCGTGCACCTTTCCTTTCCAAGATTACTCGTAATATTACTGACCCTAAGTATGCGTTTGGAATGGTCTATAGTTAGGTTTACTTGCAAAAGCAAGAGTTCCCCATCTTTTTTGGGGGGGGTTGTAAACATTTGCTAACTCCCCTCACTTCTTCCACGCGTTAGGATTTAACCCAAGACCTCGCACGTGCTAGTGAAATGCTTTTTTTATCACTGAGCTACATCCCGATCGTCCTGTGGTTAACTAAGCTATTATACAATTATTATTTGTCAATTTAGAATACAATTCAAAGAGTAAAGTATACTTAGGACTCGATTATAAAAGATAACAAATGCTTATTGAGAATCCGCTGCTTACAAGTAACGAGAACTCGAGGGTGATGTGCAGCCTACAAAAGTTTTGGTGTATATTACAGCCAAGGCTGTACCCCTTTTCTCTTCACTGGTATCACTTTTTTTTTTTTTTGTCTTGTGGAACTGGGGATTGGAACCAGGGTTCCTCTACCACTGAGCTACCTCTCCAGCCCTTTCAATTTTTTTTTAATTTGAGACAGGATCTTGCTAAGTTGTCAAAGCTTGACCTTGGACTTGTAATCTTCCTGCCTCAGCCTCCTGAGTAGCTGGGGCCACTGGCATCACTTGGGGTTTTGGCTTAGCTATCTTCCCATTTTCTGTTAGGAGCTCTTTTGAATATTACTCTTTTCCCAAAACCAGGCCCCATATTGAGAAAACAACTTTTGGAAAATGCTGACCATCTAGTCCACCTAGACTGTCTGGTGTTCTCCAGATGACACTTTAATGGATCTGCTTCACCATAATTGCATAATTCAAGGCATAACACACAGGACTATGGAGAGGATGCTAGGCATGATTAGGCAATAGGGTATGGTGCTCCAGTTCTCCCCACATTGTAGGAAGAACTAACAAAGAAGCTCATTATCATTTTTGGACTTTTGTGGTTTTATATATATACACTTTGATTTAATTTAGCTTTCTTCCCCTCTGTTATTGTGATATGTAATTGTATTAGCTTTTCAGTGCTGCAATAAAGTACCTGAGGCAGTTAGCTTATAAAGAGAAAAGCTTTGTTTAGCTCATGGTTCTGGCCCATTGCTTGGGCCCTCTGGGGAGGGTGGTACATCATGGTGGAAGTACCTGGGAGAGAGAACTCTTGTGTCATGAGTCAGGAAGCAAACAGAGAAACGATGAGACTGGAGTTCCACAATCCCCTTAATGAACATGTCTCCAGTGACCTAAGGATCTCCCATAAGGTCCCATCTTCTAAAGGCCCCCAGCATCTCCCAGTAGCTCCACCCTGGGGACCAAGCATTTAATACATAGACCTCTGGGGAACACTTATACAAATTGTAGCAATAATACAAACAGATAATGTCTAATGCAAGCACACATAGTTCAAGGAATAGTTACTGAGATCAACTTGGTTCTGTTTATATAGTTTGTATCCTTTAGATAATTTAGGGATGGATATTTTTCAGGTTTATTCTTTGTGTGCTATGAATAGTAATTGACATATATTTGGTGGAAATGTTTATAAAAAGCATGAGCTCTAGGAACACATCAAGATTGCATAACAAGCAATGCTCCATCTGTATTTAGAAGAGTAGAAAATGAAATCTATAGGAAATGGGCTGAGGTTGTGGCTTAGTGGTAGAGCACTTGCCTAGCGTGTGTGAGGGTTCAATTCTCAGCACCGCATTTAAATAGATGAATTAAATAAAGGTCCATCAACATATCAAAAGATATTTAAATAAAAAATCTATAGGAAAAAAATACGAAGGAAAAAATACAAAGGGTCTTCATGTGTCACTAAGTTGAAGACTAGGTAGTTTTCAAGTTGTAGCCAAGAAGGAAAACCGTTGAACAGCGTTGCGTTATTTCTCTCAGTGTGAGTCTTTCCAGAAGCAGATCCTGAGACCTGAGGACAAGTTCAAGTAGTTTATTTGGGAGAGCAAGATGGCACCAAAAGCAGGTGGGAGAGCCTGGGGAAGGGAATGCAGTCAGGAAAGGTGTGCTGTCGTCAGCTGCTGCAACCAGTGAAGTTCAACCCACGTGAAAACATTGGAAATCTGCCTACAACAGACTTCAGAATCATCTCAGCCGAGGGAGTGTCTTTGATCAAGGCCATTCCTGGAGGGTGTGAATTCTTTGGCATTTTCAGACTGCCATTTACACAAGAGCCACACGGATTTCTCTAGTTTCAGAAAAAAAGATAAGGAACAGCTGAAGATAGTGGCAGTTGGGAGAGATCTACACATCTCTATATCATGCCAGTGAGTGTGTGAAATGAGATTCCAATTCATCTTTCTTTTTTTAATTTTTTTTTTTTTAGTACCAGGCATTGAACTCAGGAGCACTTAACCACTGAGTCAGATCCCCAGCCCTTTCTTGTATTTTATTTTTAGACAAGCCTTGCTGAGTTGCTTAGGGCCTTGCTACATTGCTGAGGCTGGCTTTGAACATGTGATCCTCCTGCCTCAGCCTCCCGAGCCACAGAGATACAGGTGTGCATGCACCACTGCGCCCGGCTCATTCATCTTAATATACAGCTTATGAGCTGGTTGTGTGCATGTAGGTCTGTTTTGCCATTGTAGTTCCATGAATATAAAACAAATGAGCAACTTTTACAATACTTGTCCCTCTGGGAGAAAAATCTGGAAGGAAAAAGATTTTTAATAATTTCTAAATGATCCAAGTGTGGAATGCTGATGAAAAATGAGTATTTCTTTAGTCTTAAACTTTGTTGAATAAGAATTTGTGGTAGGAAAATCTGCAGCAATTCAGAAATTTTAGTTTAGAATATCTAAAGTGAATTCTACTCATCATAGAGATTTTAAGCTATGATTCATAAAAATCCCTCTTATTCTGTTTTTTCTTTTCTTTTTTGTAGTACTGGGGATCAAACCCAGGGCACTCTACCACTGAGTTACATCCCCGGTCCTTTTTATTTTAATTTTGAGACAGGGACTCACTAGGTTTCCCGGATTGGCCTTGAATTTGGGATCCTCCTTCCTCAGCCTCCTGAGTAGCTGGGATTACAGGTGCACATCACCAAGGGCTCCTCTTACTCTTTACGTCTTGCCCGCTCCTCACTCAGAAGCGAAGCCCAGGCCCATGACTAATCAGTAATGTGGACAGGACAGCAGAGGAAAACCAGGTTTGGGCGACCTTACCATGAAGGAATAGTATTGTCTAACTTATTCCTTCAGGGGTTTAGCCCAGACTGGAGAGAGCTGAAGACATTTGTATGTTTTCATAGCAGGGCCTCCCTGTGGGTTTATGTAGGTTATTTAGACAGAGTAGCCACTAGCCAAAGGGCAAGTGGTTATGAATTCCAAGTCATGCTCGGGTCAGCAAGTCACGACTCCAGGATAGATTCTATCCATTAGAGCAAGCACTGCCTGATTTCCCCAAAATGGATTACAGACTAACACTGGGGTCCTATGGCTCATAATCAAACTACAGGAATGACCAAGAAAGAGACAGGGAAGACGGAAGGAAGGAAGGAAGGAAGGAGATGTGTCTAAACAGAAGCCAAGAATTTAGACAAGAGGAAATTTTATCCCATACTGGAATGAAACAATGAAGAAAGGTCTGGAGCCTGTCATCATCTGGGCACAGGTGGCTGTGACTTGGAAGTCAGGCTGGAAGAGGGTGAAGGGAGGAGGCCCTAGTGAAGCTGGAGCTGAACACACTGAGGCAATTATATGGTGAGAGTGGATGACAACAATCAAAACTGACGGCTGCCATAGTCCTTATGTATGAAGACGCTGTTTCACAGGATGTCGCGTTCCTCACGACTAAAACACTCAGGGTCACTCCAGAGGAACTGGGCTGCACAAAATAACCACACAAGAGTCAGAGATACCTTTTACCTTGGGGTCCTGTGACGGCTCCTCTGACCTTAAGGGTCCGAAGAAACAGAGAGAGAGAGAGAGAGAGAGAGAGAGAGAGAGAGAGAGAGAGAGAGAGAACACGCTGACCCTTTTTATTGAGGAGGAGCCATTCAAATGAGGCAAGGGGTCAGATGTCAGGGGGCTGAGTCTAGCTTTGTGATGTCTGCTGTCACATGTTGGCTGACATCTAGGAAGGCCACACCCAAAGGCAGAGCAAGAGAAAGGGACACACAAAGGGTGTTTCCATGGAATGAAACAATGAAGAAAGGTCTGCAGCAAAGGGTAATATCACAAAGGAACAGGTGAGCGTAGCTCAACCACAGGGCGACACACCTATGTCGGAAGACGCGTCCTCAAACTTTTGGGATTGGGGCAATGTCCAGGTCACTATGAGATGCAGTGACGGTCAAAGCCTCTCTGCTCCCGGATGGAGAATGCGAATCATTCAGAGTGGCCTCCCACATCAGGACCTCATTAGATACACCTTGATCCTTTTTTTTTTTTTTTTTTTTTAAAGGTGATATCACATTTCTCCTAAGTGGTTCTCAGACTTGCAAAGGAGCAGATCACCAGAGTCCTTCCAGACAGAGGGGCTGTCACTCTCTCATCTTGGCAGGAACTCAGAAAAGTTAAGAAATGGAGGGCGGAGCCAATTACTGCATTCCCAAAGGGAATGATAGATGCGTGTCTGGCTGTTTTCACAAATGACATGGATCAGTGACTTCTATACATCCCCTGTTGCTCCCTCTTGAAAATAGGCAGGTTAGCCAAGCACGGCGGCACTCACCTATAGTCCCAGAGGCTCGGGAGGCTGAGTCAGGAGGATTTCCAGTTCAATGTCACCCTCAGAAATAATGAGATGCAAAGCAAGTTAGTGAGACCCTGTCTCTAAATAAAATACAAAATAGGGCTGGGGATGGGGCTGAGTAGTAGAGTACCCCTGAGTTCAATCCCTAGAAGCCCTCATATCCTGCCCCCCGTGTCTGTTTCAGTCTTATATTTCTTGTTGTGAATGGGGCAGGTAACTTGTCCTTTTATTGCACATGTTGATAAGAACCAAACCTGGGACTATATATTCAGTTCACCTCATAGGCACCACTTCTGATTTAGATCATCTTGGACTTCAACCTGTTGGTATAGTTGTATTAAATTTGTTCTGGTTCATGGAACATGGGCGCCTGAAGGTGGAGTGATGGGTCTCCAAGGCTGCTCTCCCACCTCCCCAGGAACCACAAATCAAAATAACCAAGCCTAGATTTGGGCTGTGTCTGGGATACACCTTAAAAAATAGACATATAGGGGGGCTGGGGATGTGGCTCAAGCGGTAGCGCGCTCGCCTGGCATGTGTGCTGCCCAGGTTCGATCCTCAGCACCACATACCAACAAAGATGTTGTGTCCGCCGAGAACTAACTAACTAAATAAATATTAAAAATTCTCTCTCTCTCTCTCT